ACCTACGGTAAAATATGGTGGAGGTTCAATGATGTTTTTGGGGTTGGTTGTTTTGCTGCCTCTGGCACTGGGTGCCTTGACTGTGTGCAAGGCATCATGAAATCTGAGGATTACCAAAGGATTTTGGGTCGCACTGTAGGGCCCAGTGTCAGAAAGCTGGGTTTGCGTCCAAGATCCTGGGTCTTCCAGCAGGACAATGACCCCAAACATACGTCAAAAAGCACTCAGAAATGGATGGCAAAGAAGCGCTGGAGAGTTCTGAAGTGGCCAGCAATGAGCCCAGATCTAAATCCCATTGAACACCTGTGGAGAGATCTTAAAATTGCTGTTGGGAAAAGGTGTCCTTCCAATAAGAGAGACCTGGAGCTGTTTGCAAAGGAAGAGTGGTCCAAAATTCCGGGTGAGAGGTGTCAGAAGCTTATTGATGGTTATAGGAAGCGACTGATTTCAGTTATGTTTTCCAAAGGGTGTGCAACCAAATATTAAGTTAAGGGTGCCAATACTTTTGTCCAGCCCATTTTTGGGGTTTTGTGTGACATTATGTCATATTTGCTTTTCTGCCTCTGTTTTATATTTGTTCCAATACATACAAAGGGAATAAACATGTGTATAGCAAAACATGTGTTAATGCAATACCTTTTTTGTGAAATACTTGATTTTCAGGAAAAATATCAAGGGTGCCAACAATTTCGGCCATGACTGTATAATGCCTAATATTACATAACAATACAACATGGTTGATTTCAGTATCATGGCTTACAAATCCACTAAAACCTCTAAATATGGACTGACCTGAGCTGGTTAAATCACACATCAGATTATTTTATTTCACTGGCCCTTCCCCTAATCCAGCCATTACTTTGTTGAAGACTAAGTGCCACCATAACATGCCTATCTGTATCATGTAAAAGTGAAGCTTGTTTGGTAAGGGCATTGCTGTACAAGCAGGATACCCTCAAAGTTCTGCAACTATGATACCTATATTTTCTGATGGAAGCAGGGGATTCCAACAGCATATCTTTTAGTATTGGAAGGGTAGCCCTAGATTGTAAAATTATCTTTTAAGGCATGTCCCCACACTCCTGAGTGCAGTCCAACCGGACCCTGAGTGCAGTCCAACTGGAGAAATACTTACCTTTGCTTTCGATTCATTTATCTTCTCTGTGCAGTTCTGTCCAAGATAGCCTGGACTTGCGCCCAACAGCACCACAAATATAATGTGCCTTTCACTAGCATCAGCAGTATGTAGCAAGGACTCTGTCTAGGACTTTCTCTTTGCGAGCAGGAGAGCAAATTAGAAAGGGTTTTTTGAGGCTCAAGAGCTCATCTCATAAGTCTGCATTGGTTTGGAAAGCCTGGTTAGACAAAAAAAGTGGTTGGAAAGACTGCGCACAGTGCAAGCACAAAGTCTAGCACTTGGAGTTGGTATGGAGTGTAGGCTATGTTAGCACAAAGCATTTCTGAATGGGAGATAGCCAGGAGGTCCTACTGCAGTGCAGTAATTGACATCTTGAGAAAGAAGAGCTGAAAAGATTCAAGCAAGTGACAGGGCGAAGTCTTATGAACTGCGTTGAGCAAGTCTTGTTCTTCTACCAGTCATTGGCAAAAACAGGTGATACTTGAGGATCTCATTGTCTGCATTGTCTACATCTGTCGGTAGCTAGAAGCATTTCTTCGATGGCGGCTGCTGCTTGTGCCCCCAGTTCCATTCTGGTATTTTCGCTTTGGTCCCAGCTATTCTAAAGGCTTAGCAAAGTCATCAAAGACAAGTTGGTGGGAAGACTCTCAGCTTGCTTCCCCTGAAAAACCTTATTAGCCCTGTTGTCTAAAACTATTAATTTCCATTTACACTATGAGTGTAATACATTGCTGTTGGCTTCCCTACTGTTATCAAGAGCTTTTCAAGGTAATGGAGGTCATACTGTGGCTCGGCTTATGATAACGATCAGGAGATGTGGCCTTAAGAGTCTTGATTAGCTGTGTTGTCCTATGACGTATCCCCTAACACGGGTGAACTCATGAATCCAGAACTGATACCCAAAATGAATATTATGTGGTGACTATAGTGAGATAATGGAATTATATGAATGTTTGGAGTCATATTACAGGACTGGGTGTATATCCCACAACGCCAATGTCAAAATAAAAGCTGAGTTCATGTTTGATTAAAGACAGCCCTGTAATGATTCATATTAATAACACAACAGTGTCAGGCACAAAAAGTGGTTACAGTGTGCAGAACAAGTTCGAGGCAGGACTGTGAACATTGGGAACATGCCGACTTACACAATATCAATATCTCCCATGAGTTTGTTTTACTACAAAAAGGGGCCACCTGGAGAACACCACATCGGAAACATTTTATTAGAATATCTAGTAGTAGAAATTCACATTCAACTGGACTTATTCTGTTAGACTGAAGGCGTTTCGTAGCTCACCTGAGACACTTTTTCAGTTCTAATTTTCAAAATGCTGGGGTGTGTTCCTATTACTCATTAGAACTGAAGAAGAGACCATGTTTTAACAGATGAAGGACATTTAGGGACTATTAAAATCAATTAGCTTCAACAATAGCTTATTGATTTTGTTGTCAGTGCAATTTCACTGAAGTGGAAAATCACAGTTTTGTTTATAGTGTTGCACAGGAGAAATTAGATTGAACAAAAAAGAACCCACTTTTTTCCTCTTGAGCCGGCCATAGACAGTTTGAATCCTGGCCAGTACAGCAGGGACTGGCCGAAATTCAAACCATGTATGGGCAGGCTGAATGGTTGATCTATCAACTTGGGTACAACCAGCCTGTTAGATTTTACATGCAATTATTGCTAGCTGCTATTATAGCCACTACCAGCAATCACTGTGATCTTCGGCGGGAGGGCGATGGGTGGATGGTGTGTCTCATGGGTGTCCCCAGCCAGGAGAACAGCCAGGCTCCATGGGAGGAATTCAACCATCAATACCGACTGTGTCGATGAGGGAATCAAGCAACCCATGGTATCAGAAAAAAAATATCGCTCCATCTATGGCCGGTTTTAGTTACAGGGTGAATTTTTTTATGGGGTGTATTTATCTTATTTATATAGTGCTATTTGTATGTGTGTATTTTATTTTTTCTGTAAATGTGATTGTTAGGCTGACCATACACTATACAAATTTCTTACAATTTTCTGTCCAATGTCTGTCCAATTTCCTTTAGATTTACCTTCAACTATGTAGTGCAAGAGCCTGCCTAATTGGATACAGTTGAAAGTGTTGTTAGGTTTGACCTCATATTATATGGTTTTTGGTAAATCTAAAGCAAAATTCTCAAGAAAATTGTATAATGTATGGCCAGCCTTAATTGCATACTTTTATTAATTTACTTTTTTCATTGTGTTTTTTTCTTTTCATGGAAAATATTTTTTCACAGAAAGAGTCTCCCCCTTCCCATGCTATCTTGGTCTTTTGATTGCACAGCCTAACTGGGAAACACTTCCTCTGTGCCCTGATGTTATAAAAGACTTAGATAGCTTGACAAGGGCTTAAAGCGGAGTTCCACTCACTCTGTAAAAAAATAAAAGTCAGCAGCTATAAAAACTTTAGCTGCTGACTTTTAAAAAACAGCCACTGACCTGTCCCTCCATCCCGCAGTGCCCCCACCACGGCCTGTTTCACCGGCCGTCCTGTATTGCAGGCTCTGGCATCTTCAGTGTGGGCACCCGGCTGTGATAGCTTGCTGCTTCACATCCGGGTACCCACTGCGTATGCTCAAGTAGCGCTGCGCTTCCTGAATGGTCCTGTAGTCTTCTGGGTCCTGTCACATGTCCCACAAGACTACAGGGAGGGAGGGAAGGAGGACAACTTCCGCTTCCGATTGCCCAGGCGATTTCAGTGAAAGTGGGAGCGGGTCCCCCCCGCTCTCCAAAGATGCCAATCCTTAATGGGGAGCAGAGAACCAATCTTTAAAGTGGAACTTCCCCTTTTGGGTGGAACTCCGCTTTAATGACACCATGGGCTGCACGGTGCAACTTTTAAATATCCAGCAGTTTCCAATACTGATTGGTATACAATCAAAGTGCTATGCATTTATCAAGGTACATGTGTTATATGGCTGTTTAATGTTCGTAGAATAATTCTAGGAGAACTTCCATAGCTGAATAAACTCCAGGTGTTTCAAAACAAAAGCCATTCAATGTCTCACGGTCTGTTTTCTTTCTAAAGCAGGAGTAGATAAGCCTGTCCCCGGCCAGCAGCTGCAGAGTCGGGTCATTGCGCTCTGTGTGGAATCAGTGGTCTCTCTGCAGAGGTCAGACATATCCCTACAATGTCAAACCGATAGCTCTACAGTCAGTGAAGCTCGTGTTCCCTGCTGAATGGAGAACTCTGGCAGTGATACCATAGAGGTATGTCAGACCTCTCCGAAAATATCACCCCTTCCCCACATAAAGCTAGTCACACTGTCAGGAATCAGCAGCGGGGATGGCCAGATTTGCATGACTACACCCAAGAAACTGGGACCAGGCTGTGTATACTTTAACCACTTCACGTCTGGCCCCTGTACATAGATGGTCGGGCGGGAGCAGTGCAGGAGCGGGTGGCCGTTCATAAATGACACCCGCATTTACAGACTGTGCACGCTCCCTTGAACACTGATCGCTGTACGGGATCTCTGTGTGAGGTCCCGATCATGTGATCACTGATTGAGCAATCAATGATCACATGAATAGTAAGCAAGATGTCACTTCCTGACATCATTGCTTACTAGTAGTGAAATCTGTGAATGATCACAAAGATTACTTGGTACAAGGCTATTCACAACAGCCTTGTACCATGTGACAAGCTGTGACCAATCACAGCTCTCACAGTATTTCTCAATGGCTGCAAGAATACAGCCAGAGAGAAGGAGAAAATTATTGCTTTTACAGCCTTTATGGGTGTAAAAGCAATCAGTGTAAAAAAAAAAAAAAAATCTTCATCACCCCCCACAAGTAGTACAGTATCACTATGGTGACACTGTACTGCTAGGGTGACAGTATGTTAAAAAAATACATTAATAATATAAAAAAAAATGTAAAAAAGAAAATATAAAAATTATAATTTTTGGCTATAAACTAATTTTTATTTTTTTTTATTAAAAAGATAACTGGATACATTTTGGCCACGATTTATGAAGAAATATTGTTTATTTGCAAACTTTTATATGAAAAACTTTTTTTTAAACATTTTTGGACTTTTTCATTTATATAGCAAAAAAAATAAAAATCCCAGTGGTGAATAAATACCAGCAAAATAAAGTTTTATCTGTCTCAAAAAGGTTAAAAAATTCATATGGGTACAGTGTTGCATGACCGCGCAATTGTCATTCAAAGTGTGATAGCACTGAAAGCTGAAAATTGGCCTGGGCAGGAAGGGGGTGAAAGTGTCCGGACTTGAAGTGGCTAAATGAGATTTATTTACAGTGAAACAAAATTCATCAAAACACCGGCATACAGCAAACATGAAAATATAAGTGAACCAAAAACCCAGTGACAGAATACCAAACGAATTAACCTAACAAACAGAAATCCTATCTAACAACTAACTATATACAATATATTGTATACAAAAACGGTAACACAATAGAGCAGGGGAAAACGGGAGGAGCAGGGAGCAGATGGGAATAGGGAACCAAATCTGGGAAGTGGGAGCAGTTACTGCATACAGGGAAGGAAAAGGAACATGATAACAGCTAGCAGTATCTGACAGCAAGCAAAACACTGTGAGTGAGAGGCACTAATAAGAGAGGAGCTAAATACCCTCTCAGCAGCCAGCATCAGGTGGAAACTGATTACTGGGATCTGTTGGCTGCTAGAAAATACTGGAATTACAATCCTTCACCCAGGGAACCACAGTGCCACAAGCAGGTGATCCAGATCCTGACACACTCTGCAGCATTCTAGCAGTGGACAGGCTTTACTACCAAGGCTGTGGCTGTTGTTTTAATGGAAACAATCTGTAAGACTTTGCACACGTTTTGTTTTGATAAACCTGGAATGTATTTAGTTGATTTAAACTTAAAGTTCAATTGGTCTTTAAGTTCCGCTGAAGACCATTATAAGAGGAGCAGATACAAACCACAGACTATGCATTTGTCAAAGTTGTTTTTTCAAGATCTAAAAGTCATTAATTCAGATTTTCCATATTTATTGCCACTGGAAAAAAGAAGCACTTAGGGTGAGTTTTGTAGTCAGAAGAAGTACCAAGTGTGCGTGCCTAAGAATGATGAAGTCAAGGCAGGGACAAAGGAAGGTGAAATCTTCCTCTAATATTGGTACAAACGAACATTCAGAGAACAAAATTGGTGAAGAAATAAGTCACGTACAATGATTGCCAGTAGATGTTATTATGGCATGTAATAATTAAAATTCCATTTACTATCAAGGACAACAAATGTTAAGCGGAATAAAACCCTTTTAAAGACCAATTGTCATATATGGAGCTGAAAGTCAGATCCTGTCTCCGGCAGATAAGAAAAGACTCAATGTATTTGAAAAGAAAGAAAGAAAGTACTTTGGGGAATATGTGGAGGTTTTATTTGAGAATAGAGTGTGCTGATCAAGATATAATGAGTTTTAAAAAAAAATATGAGGATGCTAGACTATCATCATTAATATGTATTGCTAATCTAAAATGGTCCGGTTATATTAAAGAGATGACTGAAATTTGAATTTCAAAAAGGATCCGAGAAGCAATATTAGGGGGATAAAGACATTCTGACTGACTCAGAGTATGATGGCTGCATAAAATCACTAGACATTAAAGGAAGATATGAATCAGGGAAATAAGAAGCCAAAGATAGGAAAGAATGGTGGCACCTACTGCAGAAAGCCATAACACTCAGAGAGCATTGTGCTGATGATATCAAAGAACACATTCATAGTATCCCTTTAGATGTTCATGCTCTTTGCTTATTCCTTCCAGCCAACTGTGATCTCACCTAGAGAGTATGCACATACTGTATGAAGGGATGTCATCAATGCGAAAACTCATATAGAGAGGTTTAGATCTGCAATCAACTTTATCGGTAAACAGAAGGAGAATGCAATCTGATGACTCAGTAACTTATCCTTTAACCACTTGCCCTCCAGAGGATTTACCCCCCTTCCTGACCAGGCCATATTTTGCATTATTTTAACTGACAATTGTGCAGTCATGCAATGCCACACCCAGATGACATTTACGTCCTTTTTTTCCCCACAAATTGAACTTTCTTTCAGTGGTATTTGATCGCCTGTGAGGTTTTTATTTTTTGCGCTATAAGCAAAAAAAGACCGACAATTTTGAAAAAAAACCTATATTTTGGACTTTTTGCTATTAACCTCCCTAGTGGTCTGATTATGTCCATATTTCTGTGCTCAAAGCGGTACATTTTTTTGCATGGAAATATGTCGTTTTTTTATTGTAGGCCTGTAATTTTTAGGAATAACTCATTGAAATCTGTCCGAACAAGAGTCTAGTAAACATCCCGGGTATGCTAAAATTTGAAACACGAAATCATAAATTATAATATAATAAATGATTATTAAAAATAATAATATAATAATAATAAATTTAAATTCAATAATATAATCAAACCCAAAACACTGAAATTTGAAATATAGCGCCAAGTTCGCACATCACTGAGCAAAGTCGCAAAATAGTTTTCAGTGACTGATGACGAATTTCCCCCACGAATCATTATCACTCAATTCTGCAAGTGGTTCTGATTTACTATCGCTGTTCTCTAGCTGATCTAAAACCGCTTTTGACATAAAGGGATGCTTTTTGGACGCCATGGACATTTCTCAGTTTCCAGGCAGAAAGAACAGTAAAAAATGCAGGCAGGGCACAGGACAAAGCACTCGGGACAAAATGTATGTGAAATGGTTTTGATACAGTAATGTTTTACTATGTGATTTTAGTGTATTTAGTGAATGTCACTGTTTAAAATTTTTTTCAATTTCCCGCCGTTCCGTCCCCGTACGTCCCGACGCTTGCAGGGACTGGAACCCAGAAGACGGATGCCGGCATTGGCCGGAGGAGATGGTCGGGGTTTCTGCAGGAGGGACATCGCGGGAGCGAAGGACAAGGTAAGTGCTGGAGGGAATCCCTGTGCAACGCTGCAGGGTAATCCCAAGTGTAGCTCAGGGTTACTGCTTTTGGCACTGATAATTAACCCCGAGCTACACTCGGGAATATCGCCAGGGAGGTTAAACATGTCCAGTTAACAAATCAAATTTCGTCATAAATTTAGGCCAAAATGTATTCTGCTACATGTCTTTGCTCAAAAAAATCTCAATACGTGTAAATTAATTGGTTTACGTGAAAGTTATAGCGTTTATAAATGGCGGTATAGATATTGGGATTTTTTTCCCCTACGAGTAATGGCAGCAATCAGTGACTTTTAGCAGGACTGCGGCGGACATTCTCACACTGGGGGGAACTAAACTTGGTGTCACTGACATCCCCAGTGACACCAATACAACGATCAGTGCTAAAAAACAGCACTGACACTGTACTAATGACACTGGGCAGGAAGGGGTTAATGTGAGGGGCGATCAAAGGGTTAACTGTGTGTAGGGAGTGTTTTACTAAGGGGCAGGGGGAGGTGTGCTTCACTGTAAGCACACTGATCGGGATGTCTGTGCTGTGCAGTGTGCCCGAGCTGACAGGGAGGAAGACTGTTTGCAAACAAAACAATCTTCCACCCCGTCGGTAATTGTCGGTAATCACCAGCCGCCAGCAGGTAATCACCAGCCGGGATCTGGTGATTGACATCCACGGCCATGGATATATATACACGTGATTTTGTGTACCCGTGCCACCGTGTAGCAGTATATCTGCTATACGGCAGCAGGTAAGCGGGTAAAGGACAGCAATAAAACTTAACACGGTTAGACTTACTTGATGGTCCTGGATATTGAGAACTTTTTTTTTTAATTTTCCAAGAGCATATATTGTAATAACTAGCTCTTTTTTTTTGGGCAAAACATTTTTGAGTAAGGGTCCTTTCACACGGGCATTCCGTTTTCCTCATCAGTTCAGTCATGTTTTTTCCAAGAAAAAATGGATCAGTTCACATCAGTTATTCATCAGTTTACATCAGTTTTTTTTTCCTCAGTTTACATCTGTTTTTTACATCCTTTACCACTACAAAAGCAGACCGTATGTACGTTTACAAATAGAGTTTTATTCCGTAAAAAAAATGGATGTTAACGGATTCGGACATTAACGGATATAAACAGATGATCATCTGTTTACCTCCGCTAGTCCATAGAAATACCTGGGTGTCTGTTTTTCATCTGTAAACGGATAGATGAAAACCGGACACATGGAACGCCCGTGTGAAAGGAGCCTAAGGAAACATACAGGGGATTCTTTACTAAAATTGAAGAATGCAAAGTTTAGTGCAATTCTGCATAGAAACCAGTCAGCCTCCAGGTTTTATTGCCAAAGTTTAATTAAAAAAAAGCTGAGGTTAGAAGCTGAGTGGCTACCATGCACAGCTGCGCCAGAATTCTGAGTGCTCCAGTTTTAGTAAATCTACTCCATAGACTGGCTGTTCATATATAATGCAATCGTTAGGCTGGCGGCATGTCAAGAATCCAGCTGAATTCTTTAATGCAAGGTAAGGTTTTTGACCTGGCTTTGCTATGGCAGCGGTGCTATTGAAGATTAATCTGAATGATCAGAAATACATTTATCTTGTTATAGCTCATTTACATGTTTGTTAACTGTATCATCTGTTTGTTGGAAGTTCAGGTTTCTTTAAAAATATATTTAAACGTTACCTCTTTCAGTACTTGGTCTCCCTGGTTAATGAGTTTCCTGATGTGGGATATAATTCTCTGGCGGACCTTCTCTTGCTGCTCACTCCTGCCGTTTGCTTCCGCCACACAGGTTCGGTACAGGACCTCAGCTTCTTGTGCCTATGACCAAAAAAAAAAAAGTCACTAGTACATGGGAAAAAATATAAATATAGATCATTACCACAGCTATAGTGAACCTTTGATTTGTTCCAGGTTATAGCTTCTCCACTAACACCCCAGTAAGTAACCATATTCATGCAAATATAATAAAATAATAGAAGAACTTTATATCTGAATAAACTGTCATAACATTAATCTGATAATGGGGTATGGGCACAAAATATAGAACAGAGAACAGAGAATTTAAGGAAATTTTTTTTTCAGATTCACATATTAAGATTTAATCCACACAAAACGGATTACAGAGATAGGTTCTGGTTGGGTGAAATATCCACCCCTTGTTTAATGTCTTGAGAACAACAACAGCATATCTCCCCTAGAACTTCTATGCCAGGCAGTCCCATGCCTTATGCTTTACTACTGCAAAGCACCTTAGAGTTGTGAGAATCCTAGGGACATGACGTCCCAATGGAATTGTCCAAACACTACA